TCCACAAAAGGAAACCACAGACAATCTTTAATCTTTATATACTGTATATAGCCCCTTTCACAGACCAGAGTCACAATGCAATAGGGGAAACCGAGGCACCCAGAGGAGACACGGGAAGAACATGCAAAGTCCACACAGAAAGGTCTGGAGGTGGAATCGAACTCCTGCAACGAAGCACAAACGCTAACCACTGTGCCACCGTGCTGCCCTGCATGTAAAAAAAACAAAACTGCAGCCCTGAGCTCTCACTTTTGGACCGTTTTGGGCACACCCTTCTGCTTGCACAATAAATACCAAATATGCGGAAGGGAAATGTGAGCAAAGGGAACAATAGATAACAACAGAGAATAGAAGGGACTACCACAGACCTACAATATCTGTGTATGGACAAAGCCTGCACCACAGAGTCACAGAGAGCTCCTTTAAGGATGGAGAACCATTATTTTGTTTTTCTTTCATAAATGCATTTTTTTTGTACCATCATCATTTGTCCTGGTTTAAATCGTCCGTCAATGTGAGTATGTCTGGAATTCTGGACAACAGAGCGGAGTTAAAGATACTATCAGCACTTAATGGTGTGTGTGTATGTGTGTGCGTGTGTGTGATAGTGTTACGCGGTAAAGAGCCTATGGTTTAGAAGTGGAGTGGAGGAGGGATCAGACTTTGATCATATTACTGTTTAAATCTGGTTTATGATTAATGTCTTTGTATTCAAGCGGCCGACGATGAAACCAAAACTGCACAGGAGTTTAACCAGTCTGTATCTATTCTTTCAACGCCCTTTGAAAAGCAGCCTCACGCGACTTTCATGCCGTCAATCTATACTCGGGCTGGGAGATAAGAATAATAGAAGAATTGGACTAATCTTTTTGAAAATCAATTGTAGAAAATGTCCAAATGTTGAAATTGAGGTGGTTCAGCAGAGTCACATACAATACTTTTGGGATTGAAAATTGAATATTAAGCTTATTTCATCAAATCAGTCGTTTTCTATACACAAGGAGAAAATGCAAACTCCACTCTTTCTTGTTTTGTTCAGCACTTTGAATTGCCTTGTGTATGAATTGTGCTAAATAAATAAACTTGCCTTGCCTTGCCTTGCCTTGCCACTCAGAAAGACCCTGTTCCGACCAGGATTCGAACCCTGGACCTTCTTTGCCGAGAAGCGAGAGTGCTCACCTTTTTCATAAACACCATATTACAGAAACCGAAATAGCGTAGATCTACCTGAATGACATCACCGCATCCTGAGCTCCGAACACAACCATAATCCTGACACAAAACACTGCATAACAAGAGTTCATGTAGAAATCACATCACAAAAGTGCCATGTTTCGTGAAGATTTGCCTGACAAAAAGTTACCAGGGAAGAAATGTCTTGTCCCAGATAAGATTAATACAAGCCACGATAATGTCACAGTTGTATTCTGACAGCCTGGATTTCTGCAGGCGAAAAGCTTTGCTCCTGTCAAACACTGGGGTTCTTGTCGAGTCAAGAATAACAGATATACAGACAGACAGAAGCTAAGAGCAGCCAGCCAAATAGCTCCTTATTACATAGGCGGAGTGGAGTTATTCAAAGATGGCTTTCAACATTCTTTCAACATACCCAGGTCCAATCCTGTTAGAAACTGATTTTATTCTGGGAGAAAAACATATTGGCTTTGGAGGAAAAACCTTTCACCTGCAGCTTTTATCTTAAATCCTTTGGCAAATATTACAGCCATCTCCGGCACAGGGGAATGGAGGTCTCGCAATGTCAGCGCAGACAGACTCCGCTCCCGTGTCAGACAAAACAAGGTATTTTCAGTCTACTTATGCTGTATTTAAGCCACATTTCGCTCCAAAAGGCAACAATGTGGACCACGGTTAAGAGAGAGTGGTGAAAGCTCCATGACTAACAGACAAGAGTAGTCCGCCATGCACTCAGCCTCACGCTCCTACTGACTTCTAATGATTTATAATTAATATTGCAGAGAACCATTAATGACCTCATGTAAAGCTCTATGGTGGTCTCATAGGAGCTGACCTGTGTGGAAGGAATTTAGCAAGGATAAGAGCAAGAATTAAACTGAGGATCAAGACATGTTTGTATTCGGACAGTTTAAACTAGGAGCAAGTATTAAAATGATACTTTACGAGATGCTTTAGAATGAAACCAGGACGTGATGTGCTTTCTGGCTATAGTCATGTTTCAGATCAGTTTGTTCTTTGGTTGTGGACAGCTGTAGCTCGGTGGTCTCACACATGCGTAATGCACCAATGTGTACTTGCCAAAAGACTGGTTTTTGCTGATGTGTATGAAGCTGAAGATTGAATGTTTCTCTTTACTCTGCACATTGAGTAAAACTTCAAATTAGTCATCCACAAAATATTTAAATTAACACATTTTATATAAAGAAAACCAATCTCATTTTCTTATGTTAACCCTTTAGTGGTTTTTGGTATATCACCTATTGAGTCATTATATCTAATTCAAGCATGCTTTGAACTGAAATATACGCACTTTTACCATCAATCTGCAGCTCAACCATTTGGTTAAAGCCTATAACAAAAAAAATATTGGGGTAACATATTACGTGTGTTATTAGTGCTCCAACATATTAGAAAATCCCAAAAAGAATAAATGACACTACTTTCTTCAAAGAGTTATCTTAAGATCTTAAGAAATGTGCTCCTACTGACGTATGCTGTCGTTGTGTCCATGGGCAACACACTTAACCCCACTCTGTCAGAAGCCCCCCGCTGAAAGACCAAGACAGCCATCCTCCTGTGGATCCACCAGCTGCAGGAGGACCAGTGAAGGGCCGGTGCTATCATGAAAATTGGGTGCTGCAGCTGTTATGGCCACACCCCGACCCAAAAAGGGACTAATAAACGGGACAGAAATGAATAAATAAATATAAAACAAGTTATCTTCTTCCCACTGCATCTCAGACAGAATACGTCGACATGTTTACGTGGAGTATATACTGTACATTTACTTTTTATCCTTTTCTTTTTGCACTTTATGACTTGACTGTATTGTCTGCCTAATGTCTAACAAAAATAATGGATGTAAGAAAATCACCGGCAGATCATGAACTTGTTTCTACTGCTTGTCAATCAAACTATTTATCTAGTTTTGGGGCAACAGTTACAGATAAATTTAGCCCTATAAGTAAAAAAAAAAGTGATTTGTCTAACAACCCCAGACGCAGAAAGGAAAGAAACCTGTGCAGACATGGGGAGAACATGCAAACTCCATACAGAAAAGTGTGGAAGTCCCAAATGTAGTCTTTCATTCTGTTTGAAAATAATGTTTTTTTTTTTCAATGTTACAAAGATATAAAGGAGAAACATATTACGACAGACATTCACTTCCTTCTTGTGTTTTGGGTTATGATGTGTGGAAATAGCAGACGGCATCAGACACCTCAAATGAACCGGAACTGTGAATGAAGTTGTGTTGATGGGGCAGACATGATGCTTTCTTACTTTTTAGTCACTGTCGTTGTATTTGTTTTTAAATAAATGAAATCAATAATAAAATAAAACGGAATTCTGAGACTGAGAGGGAATTATCTGCAATAGACACAATGCAAAGAAAATACAAGTAAAATCTGTTTAATCTCTGGAAATGGGATTATTTAAGCGGGAAAACGACATTCTTGACCCTATCTTTGCGTACTTACCCTGAGTAGTCTTGATTCTTATTTTACTAGTATGTTCTTTCTCCACAAAATGCGGAAAGCGTTCAACATGTGAGTCATGAGTCTAGAGAAAGATGAGATTTTAAACCACAAGATAAATATCTCGTTTGTAGAATCAATCCATTACTATTTCTTCATTTGTGGAACATAAAGCGCCGCAAATCCCTCAAATCTCTGAAAAAAGTTCAGAGATTTCCTGTTGTTCCATTGGTTTTGAAAAGATCAAAAGAAGCACTGTTGGAAATGTACTATTAAAAAAGTACATGCTTTGAATGTGATAAGGTTGTCAAAATGTTGCGTCATACAGCAGCTGAACCCCAGGAATAGTTGAGTAGAGCTGCAGAAAAATCATAAATAAGACTTTTTTATGTTTTTAGAAGCATTTTTTACTCTATTCATTGCTGAATTTAATTTTAAGGCAAGTCAATATATTATCAAACAATTATTCTATGTCAGTGGTGATCACATCTACTTTTCCAGTAACCAGTGAGACCATATCTACCCCAGTTGAAATGTGATTACAAAATGCAACAATTTGGCAATGTCAAAAAAAAATATTATAATTTTTTTGGACCTCAGATAGACTTAAAAATGCAGAGAAGACGGTTCATGACTCCGATGAGATTAGATAACCTTTATTCGTCCCTCAGCGGGAAATATCAGTGTCATTTTTGGGAACATTACAGGAGAAATAAGAGCAGGACTCATGACTCAGAACATTATAATGACTGCAGAAAGAAAATAATATTTATAATCAAACAATCCAATGTGTAAAAAGTCATCTCTATGTCGACGTTCTCCAAGGGCATCACCTGGGCTTTGTTTTGGTCAAATTTATAAAAAAAATTCTTTCAGGATCCCAAAAACATCTGCTGGGACTGACTATACACATGTCTATACATTTGAATGCATTAACCCTAACCCTTTGTATTATTTTTTATTTTGTATGGACCAATTTTATCTTGAGTCTGAAATATATGAATGGAAAAGGAATAATCAGCCAACTTATCCATTATCAAAATAACCTTTAATTACAGCTCTAGTGATGATGTATTGTTTTGAATTGTTAATTGTAATTCCCAGTAGATTCCCATAAGCACACCAACAGGCTTGACCTATACTTAGACTTATCCATGTCTCAAACCGAGGCCATGTGAGACCTTTAAACAGATCCCACCTCCAAACTGGGATTAAACCCGGGATGGGAACAGGTCTGGTGAAGCCTGTTGACCGCCTATGTTTTTCTAATCTTCCTTGGCCTTTGCTCGGGGTGAATCGTAACGCAGAGCTGCTGTTTTCTGCCCGTAGCATCCATAGTAATTGGGAAGTGGTGGTGTGAGATGGAGCCTTGCCTGGAGGGAGAGGAATGCAAGACGCTGCCTGACAACTCGGGCTGGATGTGCTACGCCGGCAACAAGATCAAAACCACCAGGGTAAGATAACCTCGCCGAGCCAAGGGAAAGAAGATATTACGGCTGCAGAGGTGACAGGCCATGTACTGTGGCGGAGGCAGGGACAGCAGCTGCTTTTGGCTCTGTTCAAATCTCACTCAAAAGGACTGGGGTAAAACTGACAATGCGCTGTGAATCTGACGACTTTTTTGACGGCTGTGTTCGCTCATGGAGTCACGTGTGTGTGTATGTTACGGCAGACATTGGGGAGAGGGGTAAAACGTGCTATGGCTTTGTTCCCACGTCAAAAAACAGATCCGCAGGTGTTGTTTTTAGATGGATTCGTGCTAAACTCTGGAGATTCTGGCACAACCGTGTTTAGTTTAGTTTAGTTTAGTGTTTATTTGAAGGGAACAGTGACTTTACACACACACACACACAAAGACAGACACACATAGACACATACACACACAAAAACACACATGCTTGTACATTAGAACCACACTCTACCTTTTCACACCTCACATGACGGTCAGTTGCAAATTTGGAGAAAAAACAAATCAATTCTACAGGGATAGGGCAGGCCGGGTGCATTATTGTTTAACCTTGATCTTTGTCTCACCATATGTTTTTGACTTAGCCTATTATTTCACATTCTGAAACATTAAATGACAAAGTAAAATATGTCATATGTGATTCCTTTCATTCAAGCATGCTCTTGTATTGTTTTGTTGATAACTGTGACCTCTACCTTTTAGATTAAGTTGTGAGTAATCTTGCAGCCCGACAAAGAAGGGTTAACAACTGATGAGCACAACTGTTGGGAGACAGACAGATATTTTAGATTCTTGGTTTGAAGATTTCTCCTTTTCTTTTTTCTGACAAATATTTCAGGATTAAGAACATTTCAAGAGAATGTTTCATTACATTATAGTGTGTCTAACGTGATGTGTGAATAAAAGTACCACTATTTATTATTTACTATTGTTTTGGAAAAGACAAACAGACCTCAAAAGGGTTCAGGGAAGAAGAACCCGAATCCTAAATTAAATTAAATACACTTTAACTTAGTGCATCTGGTTTCCTCTAAACCACATTTTAGGTTGAATTATGAGATCCAAAAGGTGCTCCCCCTTTCATAGTCAACAAGCCAAACGATTTTCTATCAAAAATATCTTCTTAACAGCTTTCAATTTTGTTTTTAGTGTAAGAAAATACTGGTGTACTATCAATTCCAATGTCAGTTGATAAACATCTTTTGAAATGTTCTTAACCCTGAAATATTTGTCAGAAAAGAAAATCCGAAAAATTCAAACCAGGAATCCAAAATATCTGTCTCATCTGTGGACTTAATGAATAATATTAATGATAATGGATTAGTTTTATACAACTCTTTTCAGGACTCAAAGCACTCGCTCAGACCCAGGCCTAACCCCTCCCTGACCCTACACCCCTCCCACCTCAGACAGCCATTGGAATAACATCTCTCATGCACCTTCTTGTGTGAAAAAAAGCATAATGCGTTCAAACTTGCAGTACATTTGCATTCAGCTGGTGCCATTTGAAAATATAGACAATGACATTTTCTCCTTTTTTCTCCCCAGAACTCTCAGCCATACCCAACAACAGCATCATATTAGCACAGGGAGGAGGAGGAGGAGGAGACGCCGCAGACGCCTCAGGTGCTACGAGGTTAATTTGCAGGTTAGCTGGATCTCTTATACAAGTTTATAACAAATTACACTGTTTTGTTTTCTTTTTTGTTTCACCGTGAAAAATGTATGCAATCAACTACCAATTGTTTCTTTCTGTTTTGTGTCTAATTTTAGCGTTTTCACCGGGGCAATTATCACAAAGACAATGAACTCGGTATTGCTTTAAGGACAATGTGAGGACTTGTCGGATCAGAGTGTTAAAAAAACATGTAAAAGTCTACGAAGAAGCGGCAGACTGAGCTCGAGGCGTCGGAAGTGGGCTCCTCGCTGCCTGCAGGGGAGCTCCGTCAGCACGCGGTAATGAGTGTATTTTCATCATGCTGGGATTTTTTTCCCGAAACTCTGCCACAGAACGGGATTGGGATACGTCTGCCAATGTCAAGATTAATATGAAAAAAAAAATAAAGAAGACGAAAAAAAGAAAAAAAATTGACATTTCCAATCGCTTTCACCAAGACTGCAATCAAGATACGGCAACCAGGAATCTCCTTGTACAAACTGACAGCCCTCAGGATTCTCTCAGAAAAAATGGTGGAAAAATATTGTACATAGACTTTTTTTTTTCTTTTGGTTGGTATTTTGTTGGTGATGGTTTAAAAAAAGAAAAGATCATCCCTGAATGCAATCTTGCTCCTGCTCATGAGACGAGAGGTGAATATGAAGAGATTTTATTGTTATTGGGCAAAAACACACTGGTCACTGTTTGTAATATACTCGCCTGGACCACCCCTCAGCATCACTTTTCCTGAAATTGTCACCAAAAAATGTGATTCCGTGGGTTGTTTTTGATACTTGAAATGCCTTATTTGTGTCTATTATTCAGTGATGAGAGTGAACAAATTGAGCCATCAACTGCTCTGTGCTAAAGTTTCAATAAAATCAATGGATCTGTCAATGTGTGTACAAATAGATGTTTCTGATGCAATACTGGTGCTACTACTACTACTACAACTACTACTACCACTATTTCTGCTTTCGTTACACACCTACCACTGCACCATTACTACTACTACCACTACTCAACCATTACTACAACACCATTACTGCTACTACTACTTTTTTTGTCTCTTTTTGCTTTTATCCTAGCCCAGAGTTGTTGAGTGAGAAAAAAAGCTATGCCTCACGGTTGACTCTGGCGCCTGGTCTTGTTGCCAGAGAATCCTGCCTCACTTCCCTGAGCAGGTGGACTTACAGGTGCGAGCTCCCGGGGATGTGACCCAGAAGGAGGGGAGCGACCCAGGGGGAGAGGGGAGAAAGGGCCCTGATGCTGCAGGACCTGGCCTCTTAAAAAGTGGCACAAAAAAAATCATTGAACTCCGTAGAATGGGCTTGGGGATATGACCACAGTGCTACAAGAAAATTAGCTTCAGAGGTCTGGCAATCAATATTTTGTATTCCCCACAAAATATTTCAGTAATTATATTCCAAAATAGTTGTTTTCCACTAAAGGTTACTGACTTTTTCGAAAGCACTGCCAAACTGAAAACTGTCTCCTACAAAAACCTGCACCGGGAGAGAAAAACCCCACTCATCCTGATTTGTTGCCTCCTGTTGTGTTGTTTGAATTCTAAAATCTTCCAAAGGTCTACACAATGCTCCTTTAGCTTTTGTGAATATAGTTGGGGTCAGATAGAGGTAATGATCATCAGCATCAGCATCAGTAGTAGTTTTCTAAGATACAAATAACAATTGACTTATGACAAGAAAGTACAAAACACATGTCACAAAATGGCCTCATTCCAGTGGTTCTATTTTAATTGTCAAAATATATGCCCGCATTAAATTAATGACCGCTTATGATCATGCTCATGCTTATTATATTTGAATAATAATGACAATACTATTGCTTTTCTGTCTTATCTTGCAAAACTAATCCTCCACAAAGCAGAGTGTGTGAGAGAACATGGAGGCCCTAAACAATCCTGTCGTTGTAATTGGCAGAGGATAATGTGGTGTTTTTAATTTGCTACTTTTTACATTGAGTATAAACCGATGTTTGACTTTGCTATTACCCCCAAAGTGTAATTGCCTGTTAGACCTGTCATCATTTCAACAATTAATCAGTAATTGGGTCATTTTAACAAACAGAAGCTGGGGGCTTTGAGCTGTACACAACCCATGGAGATTAATTAACATAATGGACTTTGTAGTGTCTTAAAGTGATGTTTTATTAGATGAAAGACACTACATACTCAGGCTTCTGTTGGACAGGATATTATTTATATTTTTTTATTTGAAATACTTTGACTTTCAAGTCTTTTTTACCATTAGCAATGAGCCTACACTGCACTATATGTTGGTTTATTTTTGTGAAAAATAAGCTGTGCAGAAGATGTATTGTCTGTGGACAACAGAGCAGTTCTTCTGAGAGAAAGAAGAAAAAAAAGTCCTTAAGATGAATTGCCTGCTGGTGCAGTTTGTGGATATGCTCCTATTGCAGACTTTAGTTTAGTGGGGCACGGCCATTGCAGCTTTGTTAAGATGGTATTTTTATAATGAAAGCTGCATTCAAACACCAACTGTTAAATAAATACCATAATTGCCTGCAATAGTATTTAAAGATTGTAGGCTTCAAAGTTGGCCATATAATTTTATGCATTTTTCATTCTATTCTGGGTAAGTAAGGTGCTTTATAATTGTGGTAATCATTCAGTCCATGCTCACTAGTGGTAAGCTACTATTAGCCACAGCTGGCCTGGAACTGTGGATATCTCTGGGAGCAGACTGGCAGCATGGAATATAGCAGAACAATGGTCACATGAAAATATCAAACTAAAGATTAGATTGACTAGGATTAAATTATTATCAAACAGGACACACCAACTCAACATCTGTCACATCAGTTATAAAGACAAAACTGGGATCAACCAAAACGATAGTAAACCCAGATACAAGTGTTATTAAACATTTCACACTGGTTTTCAACCAGAAATCTGAGCTGGCATTTCAGAACAACTCCACAAATTAACTTCCTCAAACCTTACACCAGTGTTTCCCAACAGGGGGTATTCAGGCCCTCGGGTTACCCAAACATATACAGGGGGTACCATTGAAATGCTACCATGGCATGTTTTATTCTGGCTATTATTCCATACCAAACATTGAACAAAGAACGCAATAAGTTAAAGTTAAACAGAATGAATAATACCATAAAACAATAAAACAATAATTTGTTCAGAATACCAACATAATACAAAAAACAAAATAAATAAAATGTAGGTCGCAAAAACACCAAACAGTTATGTAGCCCGTTGCTAACATATGGCTCAGACGAAGAAGGTCATAAACTACATGCAAGACAAATCGGGGACTTTACATAATGACAGCAAGACAAGCCGTGGAGCCGTGTTTGGGTGTGTGAAGCTCATACAGTGATAGTTTGGGCTGTTGCATGCTCTGCTCTTTCCTTTTTAAAGTTTTCCATGTAAAAAAAACATGTTGTAAAGTGTGTATGATATGTGGAAGATAAATTTTCCGTAGTCCATTATTATGCAATGGTCCTGGTCCTGGGTAGCCTGGTCTTACCTCACCATTGTACTCATTTTATTTTGTACTTAGGTCTGGATTTGCTCCATTGAGCTCCGCTAACAGGTGGGAGGAGTTAAATCCTTTTGCTGATTGAAACAATCAGTTTTGAGTTTACCGTGATGTAAAGCCTAGCTTTAGCATTTAGCCTAGCTTTAGCCATCGCCTTTGCCACAAACGGAGTCCTCGGGGAGTAGAACCAACATCTTTGCCAGCAATGACATTTGCTAAACATTCATCTTGCTCCGGTTTCAACTTCTTGATATTTGGAGCCGAATCAGAACAAATTGAAGAGCTTACTTTACTATCGCCTTTGCTGCTATTTCCAAACTAAAACCAGCAAATTAGGAGCAAACACACATGACACCTACCTACAACACCCGAGTCCCCCGCTCGCTGAATTCAACCGAGGTAACCGCAGCCACGAAGATCCGACTCAGACGTACATGTAGGGAAATGAAAATTGACTGGCGTTTACGGATGGCAAAGGCCAGGCTAGGTCCCGGGCGCACTGTGCTGTGACTTTACCAATTTTATGAAATTCAGAAATTTCAAAGCTGACACGGGTCCAAAACACTCACTGACCTTTCACAAGAGGAGTCCCGTATCCTGGTCTCAGGCTTATTGCTTCTAAAGTATGAAAACACAAAGACTTTAAAGCGTTTATAATAATGATTTCACGTTTTTTTTCTCCTCATCACTTACTTTGAACTGATGCTATGTCAGCGCTGTGTTGTGATGACAGTAAAGGGCACACACAAATTTACAGCGCAATCAAAAAGGAGATTTGTAGATAATGAACTATGTGGGCTTTTTTATTTATAACTACAGTATATATAGTGGCGAGGTTCTCAAGTCCCCAGTCTGAATTAAACCATTGCAATATGTCTAAAAAATGTGATGTTATCTGAAACGCCGCAATACAAGCTGTTATTATCCATCTTCAGCAAAAACGAAATCTCATCCTCAGAGTCCCTCTTGGGGTGTCACTTTCCATCTTTCCATTTGCATCGTTTCATTTAGGAACTCTTCAGTATCGGCCACATTTGCCAAGACGCGTTAATTGTGTGAAAATAGGAGGACAAAGCATAACAGCGGGCATCTTTCCCTTCAAACATTGTTTTTGTGAGATTGAGTGGCTGCAGTCAGATGGTGTGTGAATATCCCGTTCCCTTTCTGAAGTCTTGTTAGACAGGCAGATGACAAAGCAGCGCGGTGTAATAAGGCTGCAAAGTGAGAAGAACACAGCTCACCTCAAAAAGAAAGGATTTTGGCTCAGACTGAAACACACGACGAGCTTTTTGTCTGAGCAGTACAAAGTCGACTTCTTTACGGCTGCTGTAAATTTTCTTCCAATCAGATTCTAATTAAGACCCCTGAGAATAGTGCTATATATTATAATTGCCTGTACAAAAAAAGAAGAAAATCTCGGCAAAGACATTTCCGTATTAAACACGGCAAACAGGGATATTAAGTTTAATTGTGCCCAGTTTAAACCAGACAAAACTATGGCTGTATGCTGAGCGTTGGAAACATGAGGAGCATATTTGGTAAATGTTTTACGAGTTTTTTTAATCAGTTCTCTTGTTAATTTTGCTTTGTTTACAGTTCCTGTTATGAATTTGTTCCACCTCTGTCCCGGTCTAAATGTACTATCTGTGTTTTTCCCTGGTTCCAAATTTGTTTAGTTTGCTTTCTTGCCAGGGACTTTTCATCTTGTGACAATGAGGCTTTTTTATTTATTTTTTACATATAGACACAATACTCCATACCGTTGCGAGTATAAAAATACAAATCAGACAATTCAAAGTTATATAAACTGTGGTCCGAAAGAAATACTACAGAAAGAAAATAGTCTAACTTCCTCTTTTTCAAATTTTAGTTCTTTTTGTCATTCTTGTTTTTTAGGGACAAGCTAATTTTCATTGACAATGCTACTGTTTTTGTCTGGAACCCCAGGTTTCAGGTATGTATCCTTCATAAGTCAAGTGCAACTAAAGTTTATCCTTTTTATTATTCACATCATGGAGATTTGATATCACTATTGATACTAACACTGGTCTATTTCATCCAGGTTTGAGTGCTCCTTTTATTCCTACACTGCCTTTACCGTGCATTGCAACACTGACATTCTATCTATCAATAATCATTTCACTTTAATCACAAATATAAATATAAATCCAAGCCTATTATATCTTTTGTCAAATACAATTTTACTATTTTGGTCTGTGTGCTAGTTCAAGTACACAAACCTTTTATGAAGAAAGAGAAACGTTTTTCTAACACAAGCATCTGTTAGACCCGCCCCCACTGCTTCCTGATTGGACAATTGAATTGCTGATTGAGTTTAAATCCTTGGCAGACAACTGAGGTCTCTCACTACTGATCTATTCTCCTCCAGAAAGGCTTTCTGGGGATAAATAGGCCCAGAGAAGGAGCTGTTATTAATATATGTATAATTAAAAAACTTAATATAGACGACACAGGGTCATTTGGTCCAAAACATGTGTCATTTTCAGACATCAACTTGAACTACTCATACCTCATATTACAATTTCCCATCAGGTTTTCAACAATGGGCATATTTTTTTTAAATAAATGATCAAAACAATACAATCCCAAATCTAATTGTTGATACTTTTGTGCAGCTTTGAAAAAACATGAGCAGCACCTTTTGGATTTCTAACTAGTCCAAAAATTGCATCAGGAAGAGGAGTGGTCTGACCCATGCAGAGTCGACTTAATATGGAGAATTAGTCATACAGGAAGGAGCGAAGGAAACAAAACAATCCCTTATTCAAAATGTCAACGTTAATATTTCATAAGGTCAGTCTTTTAAATATTTTGTAAGGCCATTCCTTTATTTATTTTCTATCCACATCTTATTTTCGCCCAGTGATTGTCGGCCTATTGTTGTTGCCTGCTCCATCTGTGTTTTGAACTGGCAACCATAAGCATAGTCAAATTACACACACTGTCCATCATCTATTGTGGTTAAAATGAGACGGAGCGGTTTGTGCTGCACGAACACACAAATAAAGTAAAAAAGAAAAAAATTGCTGTTTTAGATCTAGGGGATTGTTCACTCTCTGGGCAATCACAGAGCATGCGTTTGAAACAGAATTCTCAATTTGACATAGCATGGTTAAATTGTCATGAATAATATGAGCTGGATGGCTTCATGCGGTGTCTTAATTTTCGCCAGCAGTGGTTGGAAGATGTTCTGTGCCGCTTCTTCTGCTGTTGATGCTTATGTTTGACGAGGGGGGGTGTAAAATCGTGGGAACAGCGGTGGTGATGGTGATGCGGTCTGACTCTTTCTGTCTGGGGAGCGGTGGGTCCTGTGGGGATGAGCTGAAGACACGTTTCATTCAAAGCACTCCACTCAGGCCTCGCTCTCTATACGGAGAAGTCTGCTATCATGAGAATCAAGGAGCAGCTGCGAGCCACGGGTTTCATCTTAAAGCTTGGGTGCCGGAGTTGTTTTTTGTTTGTTTCATAAAGAATGCATGTTGTTTGTCTCAGCAAAAGTAAAATGTTGCGAACACATCAGACCAAATCCTGCTGCCATCATCGTACTGTAGAAAACGTGTTATCTTTGGCATACGTGTAAGAAAGAGCCCTGCTTTGAGAGAGCTGATTGGCTGAGTGGGCGTGGTCCTCTCTTTTGATGTGACAGAGGCCAATAATACAGGCATGTGGAAACTGGTGATGGAACCAAACCCTTTGAGAGTTACATGGATTTTATTACATGGCTCAATTTCTTGTGGTTTGTCGGGTATAATTTAGATAATTTGAGTGAGTAAGTGATGCTTATTTATATAGGACATTTTACAAAGCAAGGTCACCCAAAGCGCTTTACAATGTTCAGAGTTTGTTTCATTCACTCCACACAGGTGATGACGGAAGCGAGACGCTGAACACACTGGTGCATCAAAGCTCCAATCGATGCCATACATTCACTCTCTCATTAACATTCATACCTATTCAGACCTATTGCACAAGTTTTTAGAGGTAGGGAACACCAGAGTAAACCTACCCAGACATGGGGAGAACTTTCAAACTACACTCAGAAAATAACTGTTCCGACCAGGATTCAAACCCAGGACCTTCTAGCTGAGAAGAGAGAGTGCAATCTACTTAGCAACCGTGTTGTCCAATTTTACATTAAGATATTGCCGGAATCCACATTTACTGTAGCTTTTATTGGCCTTCGTCTGCGTCCTCAGAGAGATCAACGTGAGAGATTCCAAAAACGTACTTTGTGGGAACCGTGGATAGAGAATGGAGAAAGGAAGACAAAATCAACTATTTTCCCATAATTCCATCAGTTGGTACAACATATCTCAAAGGTAGTTTACTGTAAGAATTTTCCTCTCATGTTCTATTGCCAATTCTTTAGATCAGTTTTTCTCCATAGTTTGAGCCTATTGAATCACATTGTTAAAAACCCAGACAAACGATAGCCTTGTCAATCATGTTTAGTACATGTCTGGATGTCTGAGGGTTTCACATAAAAATTAAATACATTTACTTTTGAACATGCCAACAGCAGTCGTCTCAAAAAACTTAACAGAATTGTCTATTTGCCAACAGAAGATTAGAAAATCAGACATAAATAGTCATTGGTCAAAAAAGGACAAATAGATAAACCATTTTTCTCAAGCAGATAGTTAGATGTCCTGGAGCATCCCCCATCCTCAGACCCTCCTTCTGCGGCCGGAAAAACTACAAAACCTCTGGGAGAAGAGATCCACGCCCAAGAATGGACAGGATGAGCCGAGACTGAGGAGGTCCATTTGCAGATCGAGTCCACTCTGGCTCATCTGGAACAGGGAGGGGGCTCCTGGGGAGGTGGGGGAGAGTAGGGTGGGGTCATCAGGCTTTGCTTCTCTGAAATTGATCAATCAATTATTCCAGAGCCACCTCCCATTGTTAAAGTTACATTCTGAACACATATTTCAACCTGCATCCCTGCATTTATATCACCACTTGCATGTGAAAGTTAGATTTCAGACCTCTGAAGTAAAAAGCTAAGTAGGGCAGGGCTTGGTTAGTACTGTGATGGGTGACCTCTGGAAACACCTGGTGCCATAGTGGGGCAGCTGCATTACCTAGAACGAGTCTGGTGTGGGGGTGGATGTTTGGTGGTGGTTGGAGGAGGAGCTCATGACACATACTCTTTGCCTCGCTTCAATCAGTGTGCCCCAGGGCAGCTATGGCTACAGTACTAGTTTATCACCGTTGTTAATGGCGTGAAAAAAAATGACATGTGAAGCGCATTTGAGTGTCCAGGAAAGCACTGTAGAATACCATTAATATTGTTTTTATTATTGAGCTGTTATTACATGGTTATTGCTTATATATTTATAGTTGACATCATCCAAACAGCCGTTCACTATCTGCTCCCTGCGATATCTCCGAGAACTCCTGCACAAACAACCCAACCAGCTGCAACTCCTCTGTCACATTCCCTTGTGGCGGCGAGCGATCACTGAGACTCCAGTCAGACCACATCTTGTAAGCGAGCCGTGCCTTCCTCCTCTCCGGTGCCCCTGCAGGATTGGGAGGGATTTCAAAGTCAAGGTAATGCGGCCCAAACTGGATTCTAATTAAAAGTGACATCAGGTGCCCCCCTCCCCTCCCCGCTCCTCATCCTCGGGCTTTCATCTAAAAATTCATGCAGTCCTTTCATGCCGTCAACCTCTCACAAAGGAATAACAACTTGATCACACAAAGCAAACATGGATGAATTCACTCTGACAGGGGCCTGGTGTCTGTTGCCGCCGTTTATATCAAGCCGTGTCAGAGCTAGAACCGTTCCTCTGACGTCTGGTTCGCCGGAGAAGCTTTTTCCCCGTCTCCAACGCTGCAATTAAATCAAATCTTCCCTCTCAAAGTGTTTACTAATGCAATCAGAAGGCCCCCATGAAGCGAAAATGTGACAAAATCTTCTCTTTCCAGTGGGCCGGTATTCAAATGTGTGCTCTGACCCGCTGTGAACTTGACATGATTGTTTGCAAATGACGCTGACACCTGCATTGGCCATATGTTGGTGGTGCAGCGGTGACTTCTTTGACTTTGTGTGTGTGTGTCCAAACAAAAGCGAAATCATCAAACACGAGAGAAAGAAAGAATGAAAGAAAGAAAACAGCAAATTGATTCTTTGTGTGCGAAATTCTGAGGATACGAGTTGGCTAGATAATTGCTGAATAGAAAGGGTGAATGCTTAGGAGTGTTTTTTTCTTCCTCTTTATAAGTGGTAAGGGGATTTATCTCAGTGTGAGAGAGGCTGTATTGAATAAAAGATGAGCCCCAGCTTCCTTTTGTCAGAGCGTTGTGAGCGCTATAACATATGGTGCACAATAACTACAGGTACGCAGAAAGGGCAGGAACAATGGAGAGGGGCAGCTGTGGCTGAGGACACATCTGGACGCAAATGCTGTGGAATTACACAAAATAGTGGATCATTTCTGATAAATGATGATGATTACGGCCCCTACTACCAGCATCACTGCGAGGGATACAGTACTTATGCCTCGTTTGCTAAATGTAAAACATACTGAAATTACTGCAATTTACTACTCTACATACATTGCCTATATATGTAAACACTATGGTATGTTGGAAAAAAGGTACCGTACATGTAAATAATAATAGGAAAAGTTGAAAATCGTTCAAAAGCCTTACTGCTGTTATTCAACATTGATTGAAAAAGGTTTATTTGTATCTTATGGAGTTAAAAAGTTACATGTATTACCATATTTCGGCTCCCGAGTAGGCCTCCCCTCTCGCCCGGTGGTCTCTGGAGGAGGGTGCCCCATGTGTGCGACAGGAGGAAGGCTCCCTCATCTCGGTTGATGCTCTTGTTGCACCGCTTTCTGATCACAACCTTGATCCAACGTTTGTATTTGTTGTTTTCAGATCTAATTCACACGGATCACAAATATGTAATAAATCCATTTGAATTTGTAGATTCCATTCAAAGGGACATAACTCATGTTTGTTGTTCCTCATTCTAAAACAGTTTAGAGCTTCTATCTCTAGTTTCACATATATGAATTTTTAGCTTTAACTTTCAGACAAAGAAAAGGTGAGTACCACCCTCACTCGGCCAATCAGCTCTCAGCCCAAAGCGTCTTTGCAAACATATTTGTATGAAGACAGTTTGTTCACAACATTTTACTTTTACAAGATTCTTTCTGCAGCGGACAAATACGTTTCCATCGGTACGCTCTCAGTGTTCAACTTCATTCAATTTGTATGATTGTTTACTATAATACAGGCCATTACCACGGCGTCCTTTATTCAAGTAACAACGTCTTTTAAAATTAAAGTTAGCAGATGGCTGTAATAAAAACATCCAATTACATTTCCTCTTCCTATATAAAAGAGGTAAATTAAGGAGAGTCAGGCCCAACACTTACCTGGCACTTGTGGATGCCTGTGCGCATCCTGCAGCCACTCTAACGGCCCTTCATTAGCTCGACCAGTGGGTAATGACACTAATGTTGTGTTTGCACTAGACAATGACACTAATGTGTGCTTTATCTCCAGAGGCTGAGGCACTGTCCGGCCCTCACCATCAGTGTGGCGGCTCGCTGTGGGATATTTCCCCCAAACTTGAGTCTAATGGACGCTGACGTGCAATTACAAATATGTTTTAAAAATAGTTTTGAAAATTAGACGGATGCATATGCTCCACGCTGAAAGAGGCGCAAACAAATGTGAAGTGATTTTGGGGACTTTGTTGAATGTTTAGATCATAATCTGGGGCGATATGTTTCAAAATGCTATTAAAAATCATGACTTTTATCGTCGTTCAATGTTCCTGCGGCAATTTGTCCAGTGGAGCAAAAGGAGAACGTTGATAGTGAGAGCATTAGAAAAAAAAGAAAGAATATGTAAGAAGTATGTATTTATTCCTCTTCCAGAAGTATTTCTTTTTTTAGTGTATTGTACATTAGATAACTTGAAAAGATGACTGCAACAACAAACAAGCACCAGTGCTCAGTGTTTCAACTTAATTCAATTCAATTAATTCTTGTATAGCCATAAATCACAACAGTAGTTATCTCGGAGGACTTTACAAACAGTTGAATTCGCAAACACAGATCAGAAAATCACTTCCAATACAAAAAATGCAATGATAAAAAAAACACACAAAGAGCCACTGGTCCAAAAGGAGCAGATAATCACTGTCCATAAATTTGATAAATGTGTGATGTTGAGTGGCCTGGATCATCTCCACTGTCCTTAGGCCATTCTGCATTGGTAAGGAACTACTCTAATAACAAAAACCCAGTGGGAAAAAGTGAGAAACCTCTGGGAGGCCCACATTGAGAGAGAGATCTGCTCCCACGGACAGACGGGCTATGGATCCAGGACTATGGGCTGCATAAAGAGAACCGAGGCTACGCCGTGCAAGACTGAGCCTGAAAAAATAGTCCACAGCAGCTAAACTAGGCTGGTCCAAAAAAAATGTTCACCTCATTGACACACATTGTTAGGCCAAGAGCTGACTTTTGGACCATCCTGTAAAGCCGGTTTCGCGAGGAAAGAAGGCGACACACAAAAGCATTGGGTAATTCTCTTTCCAGGTACACCCCCACAGGCTAGGAGAGGGATCGTAAGCATGTCAGCGCACATGCTCATGGACCTTTTTAAGCCGGGACCCGCCCCCACTGCTAAAAAAGGAGTGAGAAGAAGAAAAACAGAGGCCCAGTCCATGTTCATAATTTATATAATCTCCTCTTTTTTTGTAAAGAAAGTGGCTTATACATGTGCAATTTCATTTGCCTTTCGAATTTGATCCTTCGTAAAAAGGTGCAGCACATGAATACAGAAGAGTGAAGGTTCATTATCACTTTCATAAACAACAATTTACTCTGAAGAAAGGTCAAGTGGTTTGAGATCGCAGAGCTCCGAGCGGACGTCTCAGGTTGATAAAATAGTGACTCCAGATGTGACATGCCAGTCCCCATTCTGTTCGTGCAGAAAGGTTTTAGCGCACAAACAAAATTAAGTGTTTCTGGTTTGAAAGTTTGGTACCCCAGCTTAAAGACGAACTGAAATGTCCTGTTCTGATGGATATGAATTAAGACATTGATAAAGAGCCACAACAGTCCATTCCAAACTTTTGTTTCATGCTCATGTGTGTATAGTTTTGATAGTTTTAAACTGCATGTTTTAGTTAGATATTTTAAGTTAGCTGTCTAGGGATGCATCACATATAGTAAAATATTGAAATACCTAAAAGAGATGCCTTTAAAGTTAGACTATCTTTTGAAATAACAAAAAACCCAGAGGAAGGTATAATGTCAAAAATATTAACTCTCCTTGTGCAAACCCCAACATTAAAGGCGACAGTTTGGGCTTTCTGATCCTGACACATTAAATGCTGCCGTGTTTCGAATATATTTTTCTGGTGTTTGAGTTAAAAATAAACAGAAATCACAGAAATGTCTGAGAAAGGAGCGGAGAAGCAATTTAGCTCCATAAGGTTTAAAGGAAATGAATGTATCGTAATTGTTTTTGGAGAAGTCGGCCTGTCTGTCAGCTATAGCTCATCTGGCTGTAACTGCAGACACAGCAAAACAGCCCAAACGACAAAACAGTGAGGAAGATAAGAGGGAACTAAAGCGAAAAAATGATCAAAGAAGAAATAAAGCCCGGGTGAACATAGCTAGCTTACATCGTATCCTCTGGAGAGGCTTGTCTATGGGAGAGACCTGCGGGACCGCCTCGGACTATCTATCCGAATGTAATCCGAGCGATTACGTTCGGACTCAAAACTAGCTGTAATCTTTCAGTTATATATTTTGTAAGCAGTGCGTAGCTTTTTTTACCATTTCATCAGTGATTGTTGTACAGCTCACAAGAAGTTGATGGCTTCGTTGGATGAGAGCGTAGGGGAAATGAGAAGCCTGTGAGAGAGTTGGGAGGCGATGCTAAACATTCAAACTGAAAAAAAACTTGCAGAAACGGGTATAGCTTTAAAATCATAAATCATCACTGTACAAGAGTAAGATAAAATTCCTCAGCTAGACAAAACTGTTTTTACCTGGTTTTGAACAAAGGAGCAGAGAAGAGGCCTGTCTCACATTTTCAGGAAGGTTGTTGCAGATTTTAGCGGCATAAATCTGAAATGCTGCCCCCTATACTTCTGACTCTGAGCCCTAGCAGGAGTCCAGTCCCTGTGCTCCTCAGAGTCCGGGCTGGTTCATATGGGACTAACATGTCACTAATATATTTTGGTGCGAGGCTATGGAGAGATTTGTACACAAGCAGACCTGTTTTAAAGTCTATTCTCTGAGCCACAGGAAGCCAGTGCAGAGACCTGAGGACTGGATTCATATGATCATACTTCCTGGTTCTAGTCAGGACTTGAGCTGCAGCGTTTTGAATGTACTGCAGCTGTTTTAGAGCCTGTTTGCAGAGAGCTGTGAGGCCATTGCAGTCTCCAGTACAGTCTAACGTACTGGAGACAAATGCATGGATATGAATCTCCAGGTCGGTTTTTTAGTTGGTAAAAAGCTGCTGATGTTGCTGATTTGATGTGGCTATTAAAATGTAAGTCTGAGTCCAGTATCACCCCTAGATTTCTGACCTGTAATTGAATGTTTTCAAATTGTGTCTTCACTCTACTGACAAGATCCTTCCCTCAATGTGGGCCTCCCAGATGTTTCTAATTTTTTACCACTGGGTTTTTGAGTCGTTCCTTGATGATGCATGAGGGTGTACGGACAGTGATGATGATCACTGGACATTTCATATGGACCAATGACTCCTACGTGTTTGATATGATTGCATTTCCTGTGCTTGAACTGAACTCTGACATGCTGTTAGCAAATTGACAACTTTGTAATGTCCTCCAAGATGGCTACTGTTGTGATTAGAGCTACACAAAAGTAAATTGAACTGAAATGAATGGAATAATAAATGCATACAATGGTGATCTTATGGCACGATGCATTATTGATGGCATGCACTGGTATAGATGCTGCTGAGCGATTCAAACATGCTCATTATTATTATCCAATTAGTGTTTGCACATTAACATGTAATTGCACTGCTCTCTGTCCTAATTACTGAAGCACCACTGGACCTTTTGCAGCAAACGGAATTGCAGGCATACAAATGACAAATGCAATACACAGAACCTGCGAGCCACGACCAAACCATATTTCGTCAGCATCGCCTATAGTGGCCTGCAGTAAAACAAGCCTAATTTACTTGGGAATGCAGCGAGAGAGAAAAAGAATTGTGTTTACATTTTTATTACAAGTGTCAGCGGTGGATGAGGGAAAACCTGTTAAAAGGCAGAACAGAACCGCGTTTTCATTATGCTTTATGTGCCCTAGGACACTTTGCTTTCTATTAAGAGTACATGAACTACAGGCCCCAGAAGACGCAGAGAGACGTGAGGCTGTGTGCCGCGGATCATATGGAATGAGTGGAAAGAGTGGAGGCTTGCTAAACAAGAGGGGGATTTGATGATTATAAAACTCTTGATTCATTGTTATGCTTCATTGTGTGCCTAACTTAGAGGAAAATTCATTATTGGGACTTGCTCGGTGCACAGGGTTCTTGAGATAAAAATACACTATACACAACAGTGCAAGAGTGCATCATCAAAATGTTCAGTAGTATTAGTAATAACACTAATGTTGCATGTTATACCGCTGGAATTTCAGGTCACAATTGTCTTTATAACTGAACTAGGCTAGAATTCCCAAAGTAGGTTTAAATACCATAATGGCCGGACAATAAGGCACTACTTATTTCAAGTTATGTGGACCCTGCGGCCTACATTGTGATTCAGTTCAATGTCAATTATATAATCAGATGGATATTTAGCCGTAAATCCCAACAGCAATCGTCTCGAATGACTTTACAAACATATCACATAATAAAATAATTTTAACACAGGAAATGCATTAATAACAAATGCACAGAAGTCCAGAGGGAGGAGGATGTCCATAAAAGTCTTCAAATGTCTCGGATCATCGCTGTCCTTGGTCTCCTCAAAGTAAGAAACCTCGGGGAGGCCCACATTGAGAGAGGGATCCGCTCCCAGGAATGGAGAGGCTGTAGATCCAGGACTCAGACTGTAGAAAGAGGACTGAGGCTGTTCCCAGATAGAGAAGAATGAGGTCAATGTAGTCGCACACATTCCTCCTTTGTGGTGTTTATGTGAACAGCAGCAACATGAGGGAGTGTTACGCAGGGCTTGTTTTTGTGATTTAGGCTAATGTTGTAGAAGAGTTTATGGACTATTTTGACTCCACCTATCAATCCATTCATCCATTTTCTTCCCCTTAATCCATTTCTGGGTTGGGGGGGGTGGCAGTCAGAGCTGCACCCAGTACACAGAGCACCAGCCCCTCACTGATCCTCCTGCAGGTGGTGAGTCCACAGGAGCCTTGATCTCTCAGGGGGGGCTTCAGGCAAAGTGGGGTTAAGTGTCTTGCCCAAGGACACAACGACAGCAGTCATCAGTGGGAGTCGAGAAGTATGTCTTGTGGTGGACTCAAACCCACAATCTTCAGGCCCAAAGGCCAAAGCTCTACCTGAGCCACTGTCGCCCCTTATTTTGACCTGTTTGGACTCCATTAAGTTTTAATAAGTGTGTTGTCAAAACCAATTGAATACACCAGTATTTTTAAAACAACAATTGGACGTACCAGTACTTTGTTCCTCATCATTAAACCATGTTGTGTCAAGTTGGTTATTCATCGTTTAGTTGTGTTGCTCCATCAGCTGTTGGTTAGGTAATACATTACAACAAGAAAAATGAAAGGATCAGGTTCAAAGTTAGCTGGTGCTGTTGATATACAGGTGTCTATATACAGGCTGTTATGGGGAACAAAGACTCTGTTCCAAGTTCCAGGTTTTTCAGCCCACCCTGATTGGAGCCACTGGAGTCCTTAAAATGGCTGCCTTGGCTCCTCCCTCTCTCTCTCAGCCTGGAAGCAGCAGCAGCCCTGTCACTCCCGTATTCGTCCCGGAAACCGGATTCGTCCGGAAGTTCAGTTTGATCCAATGAGCATACACAGCAGTAGATTACGTCACGGAATCTGGACGAAAGCGGAAGTAAATAAAACAAACTATCTATTAATGCCTAAACTTAACCAGCCATTCCCATAAAATAACCCCAAACCAGTCTTAACCCTAACCTTAACCATCTTTATCAGACGCCTAAAACTTAACCAGTCACCACTTAAGGACATATTAAACTTTTTGACATGCGCAAACTAAACTTCCGGACGAATCCGGTTTCCGGGACGAATACGGGAGTGACAGCCCTGACCTCCACACATTTACTTACATTTTTGTTTTGTATTGTTTCATACCCCTTTTTGTTTTTGTTAATAAACCCTGTTAAGTTTTACTAGTGTTTTGTCCTTTATGTTGTACTCCATGAGCCGGCGTGTAACACAGGTGTTGATATACTGGTGTTGATATACAGGTGTTTATATAGTCCATCAAGTACTATATACAGGTGAGTATTGGACTTCTGCTGTGTTAAATGTAGTAAAACAAAACACTTATCTGTCTTGCATTTCTGATGCAGTTCTAAATTATTTTCAAAACCCACACATTTGAACTGTGAGCAGGCTCTCTGACAGCATCTCCTCTTTAGTCTCCATGGTGATAGACAGGTTTAACCACGCTGTGGGTAATTATTGAAAAAGCAGTAAAATGTGATTGAAACAAGCAGTTTACTATAAAACTTACATTGTGCTGCTCTTTATGTTAGTCTAATAATAAAGTTCCACTAATTGAATATGAGAAATCGAAGACAAAATGCATTCAGTACTTTTCACATTGTGAAGAGAGCAGTTTTGAACACAAGTGCAATGAAACCAATTCAATGCATTGATTGAAAGGCCACTCTCTCCCATTGGTCGAACTCAGTGCCTCCCACAGAGGGGTCCATTATGCATATGGTTGAAATTAGGGCTGGGCAATAAATCGAATTTTGGCAATTAATCGGCTTTTGAAAAAATCGAATTCGTGAAAAATGTGAAAATCGTGAAATCGAATGAGGGATATTGTGAGAGTTCCAGCAGCACATCAATTATACTTGCGATATCAGCACAGTCTGTACAAGACTTTTATAATATGTATTGGGGGAAACAAATAAAAAAATAGTTTTTAAACTTAAATATTGAGCGGGAAGATACAAAATATTTTAAGGGCAAAGTCTGTCTTGAGTGACTTTAATGAAAATCGATTTAAAATCGACATCGTCCAAAGCAGGAAATAAAATCGAGATTTTACTTTTTTGCCATATCGCCCAGCTCTAGTTGAAATGTAAAAAGAGTAAAAGTGTTAGTGGGGGTTCCTACGCTGTGTCGTGTGTGTGTGTGTGTGTGTGTGTGTGCACGCGTGTGTGTGTGTGTGTGTGTGTGTGTCTGTGCACACGTGTGTGTCTGTGTATATGTGTGTGTGTAGGGGGGCTAATTAATCATCACCTTTAATTAGAAGCAGGTTACATCTGTCAGGGTTTTATTGTGTTCGATTGTCACATTTGTTCTTTTCGCACTTGCAAAGATCACTTACAAATTAAAAGCACCTACAACAAAACCAGTATTCTCTTTTATATCGACTTGAAGCAGATCCACAACGCAGCTTTTCAAATACTGTTTTCAACCAATGAAAATGACACAATCATTGTGTCACGAGTGTGCTTACAGAGAATGGAGACAGACTGAGGGCCCCTCGCTGAGCTGTGATAGAATTATTCCTGAAATCATTTTTAAATATTTCAACAAAGGATGTAGTTTCACAGGCATTGGCTGGGAAAGTGACATAAACAAAACACAAAAAGAATTTTCAAAATGGCCTTGTAGAAAAGTAAACACAACAGTGTAACAATATGCAAGTCATACATCAGCCTGGATCAGCCGCTCGGTCCCTGGGGGTTCCTGTTTGGGGAAATGTACCTCTATATGTCATTCACCTCCAGAGTTTTGCCAAGTCAAGATTTAAGGTTAATAATAATTTTAAACTTTTCTGCCAATGAAGTTTTGAGAGCCCAAAAACACCATGGGAGTTTCAGGACATAAAACTCCAAACGTTATTTCTGCAGAACCAAAAATGTGCACTCAAACAAACACTTTATATTTCTCTAGAAGCAAAATTAGTTTTAACTGTGAATAAAACGCCATTGTCTTATGTGTCTTCGTAAGTTGCAGACATGGCTGTGAGAGTTATTGACTAATCAGAATCAGAATGATTTTATTGTCATTGTAAGTAACAGGAAGTCACACACTTTGGTCTCACAATGACACAGACACAAAGACATGCATGCAAGACACAAAAACACAATAACAGGCTGAGGAAACATTTATGGCCCAAAGTGCATTTAAGCGGAAAAACTGCAGAAGCGTACATTACATTGTAATCCATGACAATAAACAAACATTGATGAATTCATAAAAAAAGTGCAACATTCTGCCAACAATGATCTCGTCCATGAATGTAGACTCAGGACAAAGACTTTTGACTTGGACCGAACAGAAGCCATGTCAAATGTCTTTTGAATATGTTTTTTGTCCCATAACGTTCCCATAATACTATACACCACATTACACATATACTTTTATTTTACATTACAAAGCAGATTCTGGTGAAGCGTGAGAAATGTAGCTCGCGAAAATTCAATTTGGTAGACGTCAGCCAAAAGCTACCCCCTCCAGGCCGGTTCGCTTCCCCAGCCTATCGCTCAGCAAACGCCCCCTTCCAATCATCCGTGCCGGACAGGCAGCCGCTTAAAAGCGGAGCAACTCCCACTCTCGGCCTTCTCGAAGCCTCGCAAGCTCCTGAAGCCTTGCAGAGAATCGTCTGGAGGAATCGTTTTCGTCTACTCACGCTACTCGGCGCGTCCCTGGCGTCCTCCGTCTGGCTGCTTGTGGTCTGCTCCTCCTCCGCGTCCCTGCACTGGTCTGCTCCTCTTCCACGTCCCTGCACTGCTGTGGTTCGCATATCCCCACTGCTCTCCTCCTCTGCGGGCTCTTTCTGCGGGCTGCTCCGCGGGGCCCTCCGCGGGTTTCTGTGCGGCTCGTTCCTCGTGGTCTGCTGCCGCACGCAGAAGGTCTGGCGGTGCCGTGCGTGTCCCTGCCTCGATTGGCGGTGCCGCGTTGTCCCGTTGCTTTTCCCAAGTCTCCTGGCATGTGAGTACAGTGAGCGTGCTGACCGCGGACAGATTAATCCCGGAGTTCTGGGCTGCAGGCGATTGGTTTTTGCCCTACGCACTTGACTGCAGGCGCCAGTTTTTTCGCCCCGAGCTTGGTCTGCAGGCTCCGTTTCACATGTGTTTGAGCTAACTGAGGGGCAATGCATATTAAATGGCATCAATCTCTATCGTCTGAGGGATATACGAGGAGCTATGTGCATTAATTCAGATCATGTTCTGCCACTTGCAGTAAAACCATGCATTAAATAGCTAGGTCGCTGGTATTAAATTAGGTAACTAACTGCAGTGTTGCATTTTGAAAGTGCAGCAGGAAGAAAAAGGGCCGAACGTGAATCTGCAATGGGTGTGAAGTAGTGTTGGAGCTATGAACGCATGATCAGTGATCGTTCATGCGCATCTGCCATAACCAAAGCAGAAGATGGCTCCAGGGGACGTCTGTTATTCGCATGGGAATGTTTCGGATTCGGGTTGATTTATTTCCTCAGGCTGTTAAACAACCGTGGGTTGGTTCTCTGACCGCCGCTGCTGCCGGTCCCCGCTGCCGTTCCTACTGATGCCGATCCCGCCGCCGCCGTTCCTGCTGCCGCTCCTGCCGCTGCCTGTTCCTGCTGCCTGTTCCTGCTACCGCTACTGCTGCTACTGCTGCCGCTGCTGCTTCATACTGCTACTACTGCCGTGCTGCTGCTGCTTCATACTGCTACCGCTACTGCTGCTACTGCTGCCGCTGCTGCTTCATACTGCTACTACTGCCGTGCTGCTGCTGCTTCCTGTACTTCGTCATCTCTCTTCACTTCGCTTCTCTTACTGAAACACTAAACAGCTACAACATATTCTACTGCCGTGGCTTTGATACAGGGTTTTTGCCGTTATTATCTACGGATGCTGCAGCTGCTGCTGCCGCGGCTGATACAGGTCGTTGCCGTTATTATCTGAGGTTACTGCCGCTGCCGCCGCTGCTACTGCTACTGCTGCAACCCACTCTCTCAGAAGCTTATCCTGCTTCTAATGGAGGCAGCCCGGCAGAGTATGCCGCGCTGCACTGGACTCGCACCTGTGCTCCCAGGGTCGCTTCGGCGGTCATGCTTCATCTCTCTACTTAATCTTCCGATTCTATCAGATGCAGCTGGCCAAGTAGCTGCGCTGAGCCGTCAATCGGACTCCTAATCAAAGGCATCCATACCTGTATTCTTCACTCTTCTGATCGCAGGCTCCCAATCATGCTGCCCGTCCTGCAGCGGCACTGAACTCCGGCTCATCTTCCAGGTACATGTCTGCCCTCCTCGCAGCATCTTCCTGCTCGCCTTCCATGGCTTCTCTTCAACCTTCGTGCGGTCCGAGACACGGCTTTTCCCGACCTTCCTACTGTCCTGATTACCTACTCTCCAACCCAAGATTCTAAGCGTAAGGGCGCCTGCAACATCAATGGCCCTCTCCGATATGTCTCTGCCCCTCCAGGTCTCCGCTTCTACACGGACGTGCCCCTTCCGTGGGTTTTGGGGG